GTGATTGTCCCATCAAATCCTACTCTTGTATGATGCATCAAATGAAAATTAGTTGCATGGCTTCCCTTTTCTTTTGCCTAAGTCCTACAATAAGTGGGCAAGATGAGGACCCTTAGCAGGTTTTTTTTGGCTTTTAAGGTTTTCTTTTTTTAGATGTTAGCCCTAAGGATGTAAACGAGTTGAGCTGAGCTCGAGTCATCTCTGACTTGAACTTGAGCTTAACTCGAGCTTGAGCTTTATTTTACGAGTTTGAGCCAGCTTGTTTATTTTGAAAGAGAGAAAATGATAATGATTCAAGCAATTATTATAACAAAATGGTATAATGAATGAAAAATTAGAAGAAAAATAATAAAGAATGACTTAATATAGAAAAGTAAAATATATTAAAATTCTAAATATTAATCTATTTTAAGTGCATTTTGTATTAATATTTTTAAACAAGCAACTCGCAAGCTAATGAGTTGAGGTAGAGCTGGCTCAAATTTGATTGGTTAACTTATTAGCTCGACTCACGATCAATTGATCGAGTCGAGCATGAGCCGACTCATGAGTCGGATTGACAAACTAATAAGCGATAACCTCAAATTTTAGTAACTCTCAGACAAGTAGTAATTACTAAAATTAATACTACATAAGAGTTATAGTTCTTCCTATTTCTTCTTGTTCGAACAAAAAATTCTCATCTCCAAGTCCATCTATACCTATTCTAAAAGCTGCGAGATACTTTTTTTGTCTAAACGGGAAAGAAATAAGGAAAGAGTGAAGATCCCAATGTCTTAAGCAAGCTCTGTTATCCTATTTGAGTATAGACAAAATTGAAAATTTTCCAGATGATACCTCCTTTGAACCTGTGATTGATTATGATCTTAACTGACTAATTACTTTGAGAATGGGTATGAGTAAGTACTAATCATTCTATCTATAACTTTGAACGCCTTTCATCTGGCTTCCCTGAATTTGTTAGCAATATCAAAGTGTATGGTGCAACCTAAAATCCTAAACCTTTTTTTTTTTTTTTGGGAAAATTTGGGGCAAAGCCCATATATTAATCAAAGAAAGTTACAAAAACAATTACAAGTAAGTATAGAAGTAAACCTATACCACCCCAAAACCTTAATAACAAAAAACAGAACCTATAAAGAAAGAAACAGCAAACTCCCAAATGAGCGCCAAAACCATTTTGTAAAAAGGAAAATTGGACTCAGGATAAGAACTACATCACATAGCATGCAGCCCAGCCACAAAAATTCAAAATCCGGCAAGAGCACTGGTTGCCAGCAAGACCGACCATCACAGTGCAAAGAATCACCTCCCACATAGACCTGGTTGCCAGAAGACCATCCAAGGTCACCGGATTGATGTAGTCCTTGGTCATCATCGTCCCAAAAATCCCATTCTCCATTAAGACCTTGAAAAGATGGTCCTGATCAAAATGCAAAATTTGCCCAGCAAAAACCTGAATATCCCAACCAGCATCAGCCACCGGAATGAGAACAAACTCCCAGAAATAAGTGGGATGTCTCATAAAGACAATAAAGCTTAATCCAGCAATGAAGATAACCCTATAAAGCAGCATCGTTCCAAAATCCAAGCACCAAAAAATTAAGCAGATAGCAACCAAAAAAATAATGCACAAAGAGGATGCATTATCCCAAAATCCAGCTGAATAAAACTTTAAGCTTCTCAAAATCTTTCCACAATCTAGTCTTAGCACGAATGGCATTAATAATTTCACCTTGAATACCATTAGGAGATGTCCAGCAATGCTTAAATCTTCGATTATTCCTTTCCCTCCAAATGAAGTAAATCATGGCAGCCATCAGGAGGAAACAAAAATGCTTTTCAAGCCTCCCAAAATTCCTCACATTATCCAAGTAATCAAAAACTTGCAGCATGTTCGGCCTAAGATAAAAATTAGCAGTAATGGGCAGCAGACTAGAAAGAATAGAAAAGGAGAAATCACACTCAAAAAAGAGATGCGAGTGATTCTCCTCAAATGAACCACAAAAAGAGCAATTACTCAAAACAGGAATTCCTCTCACAATGAGGTTGTCAGCCGTTTTCAACTTCCTTTTAAATGCCATCCAGGAATAACAGGAATACCGTAGAGCATGCCTCTTATGCCATACATACTTACACCATATCACATTATCCAAATGCCCATAGAAAGCAGAGAGAACCTTTTTAGGAGAAGGGGTGGGGGATCCTTCCCAAAAAATAACCGGTTGGTCTCCCAAAATGTTAATTTCCAAAATTTCATCTCTAATCACGTTTGGAATAAAAAGAGGAAGCTCCCACCTATTCTCAACAATAACATCATTAACCTTAAGCTTATCCAGAGCAGTTGAGAAAAACAAGTCAGCTAACGCCTTACCCTTGCACCACGGGTCCCAAAGAAATGATAAATTGCACCTTCTATGAACAGACAGGGAAATGAACGGAACTATATTTGCTGCCACATTGCAAAGCAGCTTCCAAAATTTAGAAGCAGAGGGAGAGGCTGGTTTCCAAGGTGAAAGGTATTTATGCCTATACCAAATCCCACACCAGGAGTTGTAATTGATCATCCTGAATAAAAAGGAGATAGCCATCTTATGATAAAGGTAATCAAAAGAAGGAAGACCTAAACCTCCCTTAATTTTGGGAGTGACCACCGACTTCCAGGAGATCATATGTAATTTCTTGTCATTAACATTCCCAAAGAACAGGAACTTGGAGCAAATTTTAGAGATTGTTTTTAAGCAAGCTTTAGGTATAATTGCCCCTCGGATCCAATAGGCGATCGTGTTGGCAATGGTGAACTTTAAGTATTGTAATCTACCTGCAAAAGAAAGAAATTTAACTTTCCAACCCCAAGAAGAGTAGAAATTCTACTCAGGAGGGGTTGGAAGTGAGTAAACTTAAGCCGGGTAGTGGAAATGGGAATGCCCAAATAAGTGATAGAATCCTCCACCCTAGAAATCCCAAGGGTATTAGCAATGACCGTATCAGAATGCAAGTTTCTGGAAAGTATCAAAGAGCTCTTCAAAGGATTAATGCGCAAGCCAGAAGCTTCAGCGAAAGTTTTAAGAATCCCATTAAGAGAAGTAACATTATCCATGTTAGCCAACCCAAAAACAAGAAGATCGTCAGCATACATCAAGTGATTGATATTGAGGTTATGAATTCTTATGCCCACAAAGTCCTCATGAGCTTCAAGGCAAGAAGAGAGCGCGTCCATAACAATACAGAAAAGCAGGGGAGAGAGGGGACAACCCTGCCTCAAACCAGATTTTGAAGGGAAAAACCCTTCTAAAACTCCATTCAGGCAAACCGAGAAATGCACCTCCCCAATGCACCCATTAATCCAGTTAATAAATATCTCTGGGAACCCTTTTTGCCTCAATCTATTGATCAAAAAGATGCGAGATACAGAATCGAAGGCCTTCTTAATGTCCAACTTAGCACAAAAATACTTGTGATTCCCTTTAAACTCCCTCAAAATTTCAGAAGCAAGGATGATGTTATCAGTGGAGCATCTCTTAGTGATAAATCCAGACTGACTTTCGTGAATGATAAAAGGAAGAATAGGTTTTAACCTATTGGCAAGGATTTTAGCGACGATCTTATAAAAAACATTGCATAAAGAGATAGGTCTATAGTCTGAAATGGCATCGGAGTGAGTCCCTTTAGGAATAAGGGTAATGGCGGTAGCTTTCGAAATTTTGGGCATAATACCAGAAGCAAAAAAATGTTTAACTGCTCTGCAAAGATGGAAGCCAATAATATGCCAAGTTTTTTGATAAAATCCAAAAGAGAAGCCATCCGGACCCGGAGCAGAAGTGGCTTTACCAGCAAAAACCACAGATTTTATTTCTTCATTGGAAACAGGACTGATAAGACCTTGAATTAACTCAGCTGGGACTTGAGGACCAGCCGTGATATTGAAAGAGTTTTCACAAGGAGGAATTTCCGAGTTGTATAAATCATTAAAGTGATTGATGAGGGAAGCAGCCAACTCCTCCTGAGAAGAAATCAAACCAAGAGGACCATTCAATTCCTTAATCATGTTTCGATTTTTCCTGGCTCTAATCTTCGTGTAAAGGAAGCCAAGATCATCTTCCCCAAGAGAAAGCCAATAAGCCTTGGCTCTCTGAGCAATCCAAGAATACCAAGCAGAATGAAAAGAAGCTAAACTTTCATTAGTTTCTTTGAGAGAAAAATTCAAAATAGGGTTCAACGGATCAGATTGGATATCAGATAACAATTGATATTGCTTGTTCTTAAGCTCCAAAATGCAATTAGAAACATACTTAGAAGAGCTCCACCTCTTGCTCTTAACAGCCTTCTTAAGTCGCTTGAGGCAATCATAGAAGAAAACAATAGGACTAGCATCCACACTTCTGTGAAAAACATTACAAATAATATCCCAAAATTCATCTATCTCAGTCCAATATGCTTTAAACATAAACCTTGAAGTTTTCTTCCTTGTATGAGTAGCAAACAAAACTAAAGGGGAATGGTCAGACCCCAAATGCTCAGTCACTTTATAATAAGCATCAGGAAATAAGTCTAAAAAAGCGGAATTCACTAACATACGATCCAGTTTAATATGAATAGGGTCTTCAGTTCTCTGATTAAACCAAGTAAAAAACAGTCCCACCGAAGCCAGGTCATGGACCCCAGCCTCAAAAATGAAGTTATTGAGCTCTCCCAACTTATCAGCAGTTAAGAGATTACCCCCAGCTTTCTCTTCTTGAAGCTTGCAGCAATTAAAATCCCCCATGAGAACCCATGGAAGATCAATACCAACCGAAAGATTTAACAAATCTTCCCAGAGAGGTCTCCTATCCCCCAAATCATTAGCAGCATAGACCGCAGACAGATAGAAGGGGGGAGAAGAACCCGCTTGCACTAAGCCATGAATGACTTGAGAGGAGGTGAAGGATGGAATAAAGGAAAGATGAGAGGAGTCCCACTTTACCCAAATTCTACCAGGATTAGAACAGGAGAAATTGTCACAACACATTTCATTATCAAAGAGGACACGAGAGCTATTAAACCAAGGGTCTTGATTGACAGAAGGATGGATCTTAGCTTCTAGAATGCACAGAAGCTTAAGGTTGCAGGAGGCAATGAAATCTCTACACATCTTGGCTTTGATAGGGTTATTGAATCCCCTAACATTCCAAGCAGCTAAAGCGGGAAAGGACATGGATTACTTTGGTTTTTTGGCCTTCTTGGCCGTTTTTGGCTTTTGATTTTTGGCTTTGGAATTTATGTTTTTTGGAGTTTTAGAAGAGGAAGGAGAGGAGTTATGAAGACTAGAGGAATTAACCACATCTTCCGAACGCGAGGTGGAAGAGAAATCATCTACAGCATTGTCCCCTTCCGGGCTGTCGTGCTTTTCAACCGGAAGAGAGGCAAAGCTATTTGCCAGAACAACTTGGGATGGACGCAAAAGCAAATTTGTGGAAGTCTGTTCAGAAGAAGAGGAGATATTTTGGGGTAGATTGAGATTAGGTAGGGAAGTTATGTTACCAGAGATGTTAATCGGAGGTTCAGCAGAAACCGGATCATCTGCCGAATCCAGAATCTTATCGGGAGGCATAGAAGGTTTGGAGGGAAGAGGAGGATTAGAAGAACCAGGCAAATCAATCGCAGAAGGAAGAGCAGAATTAATCACAGTAGGCCTGGAGAAGGATCTCGTATTCCTGGCACCAGGAGCTCTGCTCTTACTCCTGCCCCGAAAGGTAGGTTTGGGCGGCAGAGATGGCTTCGGATTGGGATTTGAAGGGCAAAGCGCAAACGGATGAATAATGGAACCACAGCCCTCACATTTGGAAGGCTTCCAATCATAAACCACTTTCAGAACCAAGTCCTCCCCATCAATTTCCAAAGGGATTTCTTCCGGTAACTCCGAATTTTTATCAACTTGAACGCAAACTCGCGCAAAAGTTAATCTTGTTCTTTTAGCAGTTAGCGAATCCACATATAAAGGAATACCTATATAACTTGCAATCTTAGATATACCTGACGGGGTCCAAAGAGCCAGAGGCAAGTTGAGAATTTTAATCCACAGAGGGATAACTGCGGATTCATCTCGCTTCGGCTGGAATTTCGGGGACCACTTTTGGAGGAAGAAAGGCTTACCCAGCAGAAACCAAGGGCCACCCGACCAAATCATGTCGAAGTCTTCAACCGAAGTGAACTTCAAAAGGAAGAAGTCATCAGCAAGTGAAAGGAGAGAGAAAGATCCTTTCAGTTTCCAAGCTCTGTTCATCGCTTGAAGCAGCCGCTCGTAGTAAGGTCTTTGCCCTAGAGAATACCCCACTAGAGAAAGATCCCACAGTCCTTTGCCCTCCGTGAGCTCTGAAGCAGCAAAAGACAATTTTTTGGACGGGTTGACAAACTCCATAGGCCATTCTTCCCTCGCCGAAGGAGGAGCAGTGAGATTACTAGCATAAGAGATGAAAGGAGTAGGGGAAGGAGGCGCAGCACCTAGCAACGAAGAGCTGCGAGGAAGAGGCGGGAAATCCTTAGGATTGGCGCCCATGGCGGCCAGGCGGCCGAGAAGAAACTACGCCAACCCTAAAACCCAGAGCTTCTCACACTAACTTCTCTCTCTTCCGAAAGTGGTTTCTCAACGTTTGACCTGTTCAAATCCTAAACCTTTTAAAAAAAAAAAAAACATTTAGGCATGCAATTAAAAAAACGACTTCCTTTCAATAACACAAACATAAACACAAACATAAATTGACTTGGTAGAAGCAAACATTAAGAAATCACGTATGATTGAAATATTCAAAGCACTTAAATAATAATAACCCTTAGAACAATCACGAATGGTCACCTCACATGCAATACACAAAACTAGAGAAAGATGTTCAAAGAAAAGATCTAACTAGTAATTAACCACTAAAAGTTTATCTGATACAAGTCTGTGCTCCTCATGCAAATGCCAATAGAACAGGGTAACAACACCGCCTCACAAATCACAAAGTTTAGAGAAGAAAGATAAATGTGGAAATAAAACCGTGGAGGGAAGAAGTAGAAAGAAGACCGAGAGGAAGTAATAGGGAATAGGAAAAAAAAAAAAAAAGATTATTGGTCGGATTCAGATCAGATTTTCATGTCGTGTCAAATATTGACACCCATAAATCCTAAACCAATTTGAGGAAAACTAAGAGGAGATGCTCCTTTCGTCCTACATAAATGGTTGGCAAAATTTTCCGCATCGTTTTAATGGGACGTTGACATCTTAGCAGACTAATATATATATACTTTCAATTTATTGGCTTGTAATAATCCAATTTCTATCTCAGGCCGATAAACATTGACGTTTGCTGTTCTCCATAAATAATGGAATAACGACATCTTGTTCAATAAAGAAACAAGTGAAAGGGCTACCTAACAGTGCCATATTACAGCTCCTCTCTAAGGTTTTGTTAAAGTAAAAATATTTTGAGAAATCAGTAATAAAACTATTCCAAATGAAACCTATTTGGGACAGCTTTTGAATGCTGCTTTTTCGTTGCTTTTGACAAATTTTTTAACTAGAAAACTATTGTAGAAAGCACTAAAATGCTGTCACAAATGCCGGATGCCGAACGCTTTTTTATTGATTTGTAATGTAATTTTTTAATTCAAAACTTTTTTGAACTAGAAATTTTTATACTAAAATGTTATTTCACAAAGCAGTAAGAAAGCTGTCTCAAACGAAGCCTAACACTTCGTTTGAAACAACTTTCTTACTCCTACTTAAATAAGAAAGCTGTCCCAAAAAAAATTTATACCTAAAAATTATCTTAGAAAGTAATAAAAAAACTGTCTTAATCTAAAAAATGTGGAGTTCTGAAACTCTGAACAAAATGGCAAATTTTAGCATTTAGTAATTAGCCCATAATTCATCCAATATATAGGAGGGGAATTCATTGCTCTCCTTCCTCATACTTGTGTGAAGGCATGGAGAAGGCAAGCAATATCATAAGAAGCTCAATGCATTCCTTCTTCACCAGCTATGACACCTTTGCCTCCATAGCCACAGTTCTCATCCTCCCTTTATCAGCTTCCACTCTCCTCTTCAGTGCTCTCAACCCTCCACCTTCTTCTTCCATTTTTCTTCAACTCATCTCCTTTCAAAAACCTCAAGTTCTCGACATTTTTTATCTCAAATTCTTGCACACAATCCTCCCCTTCCTCCTCACTCTCCCCTTCACCCTCACCTTCCTCTCTCTGGCCAAAGCATCCATAATTCTCGCCGCTCGCAAACTCAATCCTTACAATCAATATTCTCTTCCAATCTCTTCATTCCTTCATCTCTACCGCCCGCTCGCCCTCGCCCAACTCTTCAACAGCTTTCTCATACTATCAACCAATGCAATTTTCTTCTTGGTCATGTTCTTGCTCTTCAATTTGGTCGAATCGCTCGGTTTAGACTCGAGAATTCTCATTGTCATGATATCAGCCGTCGGTATCATCTTCTACTCGATGATCATTGCAAATGTATTTGTGATCTGCAATCTAGCAAGCATTGTTGCAGCAATGGAGAATTGCAGAGCTTATGAAGCTGTTATCAAGGCCTGTTTGCTTATCAGGGGAAGGACTGTGGTTGCTTTATCACTTGCTGTTCCTACAAATTTGGCCATGGCTGCAATAGAATCTGTGTTTCAGGTAAGAGTGATGAGGCCATATTATCAGAACAGTCAGTTTGATCTGTCTTTGATGTGTGAGGGATTGACAATAACTTACATGTATTCTATTCTCATTGTGCTCGATATCATCATCACTTGCTGCTTCTATAAGTTCTGCAAATCTGAATTATTCAGAAGTTGTGAAAGTCTGTTTGATTATGATGTGGAGTTAGGAGAAGCAGAGAAAGCTGCTTTTCTGGTTTGATTTGTTGAAGGTGAGGAGAGTTATTAAGCTATATAATTTTGCTTGATCAGTAGCATTTGTAAAGATTGTTCAAGTAAAAACAAGGCTAATATCATGGAAAATTCTGATATGAGTGGTGGGATTTCAGCAAGTCTTTCATGATTTGTCTAAGTAATCTGTATTTATGGTTCAAAACTTTCTTCTTATATGAGAGATCTCAAGAACCTTTTGAATCTATTGATGCAGCATCCAGCTTATTTTACAAAGAAAAAATTGGAGTAACAAAGCTTTTTTTTTTTTTTGGAGGTTTTTGAGAGAACAAATAATGTGAGGGTTTGTGGGCTCTCAACATTCAACTTAATTTGCTATGGCCAAGCAATTTTTAAAATTTCAAATAGATAATTTGGGGATTATTTGGAACAATTAAGAAAATATATTTAGTCTGAAACACTGTTCTAATCATATATGCATACACATACACATGTTATTAAAAATAAATTTGATCAAGGACGAATCTAGATGCACATTTGAATTGGAAGCTTCTAGAATTAAATTTATGATCATCTAAACTTATTTCAGCAAATTTATAGTCAAACTGATTGGTTCGGTTAGACAAACCCAACAATATCAAAAATGCTTCGATCCGAGTCTAAATATGTCTAGATCAAGTGCTTAAAGCATAGTTAAAAATATTAGAATATTAATTAATTATCCAAACGATATTCAAATTTAACATGCTTATAATCAAATTGATACTTTTGACAAGATGACTCCAACGAGCCCAAGATTGCTTAATTTGGACATTATTTATGCACTTAAATGCTAAATTAATGTTTTGTGATCAAAGACACCAATATCAGCCATCCGATGAAGTGTTATAGAATTTTATATATATATATATTTATGGGATATGTCACTCTAAAAAATTCATAAATAGATCCTCATTATCTTCATTATGAGGGAGGAGTATGGACCTTGAGTTTGTATTTTGACTTGAGATTTAAGAAAGTTCTAAAACTCTAAGGCCAGTGCACCACTCATCGTCGCTATTGGATAGAGCAACCACTGCCACTGTTAGACCACCATTCAACTGTCATTGGAATACCAATTGATCCTATCCATTGGTTTTCAACGACGACCTTTTGACTGGTTTCACCCGGCTAGAATCCTCTAACTAGTGTACTCAACCACCCCACCGTAGTTTAACTTTATCTCTTTGACCACCATGCCCAACTAAGGTTCTTTTTACTGCAATCACTCGACTATGATTCTCTGACCAACAATCTTTTGAACATTGTTTTCTAGATACACTCATAGATACTAGCGTCATGTATAAGACTAATACACACCATCACGTATAAGATCAATGCACGACATTGATATCAACGTTGACTTTGACTTTTAATGTCAACACTAGGATTTATGATAAATATGATCATTGAACAGCTATAATGGATTACTCTCTGGTTAATAAATTATATATATATATACCCATCACAAAGCTTGTCAGCATACTCGTCGGCAGACACGCGTTCCACTCTTAAGTGGAAATTTTGTTGTTTATGGCATTGAGCCTAAATAAAAAATAAAAATTTAATGCTATTATTGACATTTTTACTCTGAAATAAAAAATTAAATATTTGATATTATCTCTCTAAAAGAGATACAGAATTTTTTTTTTAATTATTCCATATTTATTTTATTTTCATCCACTAGTTGGAATGGGCACGTGGCTACTTTATAATATAAAAAGTAAAAAACATGTAAATTCGAAAGGTGATGATTATCTTCCAGTGAAATTACAGGATCACCCCTGCCTTTTGTAATGTAGTCGCACGTGTAAAAAAGACAGCTATTATCTGAATTGGACTTTTTTTTTACATTTAAATAAATTAGCACACATATGATAAAGATAAGTCTCAAACTCCACCTTTTTTTATTGATATTCAAAGCTCTTAATCAAGAGACCAAATGAACTGTATCTATTTGACCAATTCAATCGTGATTCGATCAAATTGTCGGTCCAATCCATATTAAAAATCGACTTTGTATTAAACCAGACTGAACCAGTTAGAAGCGTCGATGCAGCCGGTGAATCAATTGTAAGTATTTTTTAAACAAAATTTTAATTAATTTTATAATATGAATAATATTTATTTTTTAATCGATAATACATGTAACTTTGACTATTGGTATAACTCTAAGCATGTATTCATATAATTATATTCCAACACTCAACATAAGGAAAATAATTAAATTGAAAAAAAAAAAACAAAGTGCAAAAAAAAAAAACAGATTAGTTAGTCAGATCATGAATTGTCGACCATCAAAATGAAGGAAAATAATCCATCCACAATTCTTAACTATCTACTTATAGTAATTTGATATTTCCTGATGCAAAGTTCATTAAAAAAATCTATACAGCCTTTAATTGGAAAAATTATTCTATGCGGATGCCAGACTGTCCGGAGACGAATAAGAACACGTCACATCACCACACCAGATATACGGCGGTACACATAAAAAAAACTACGTGACGCGCTCTCATTCGTCTTTGGATGATATTCGACGTCCACACTAAATCAATCCTTTGGTTAAGGCTGTGTTGCAAGTTGCAAGCATTATCTATGTAAGTAAAACATTAAAAAGCAAGATGGACAATTTACCATAAATAAAAAAGTTGAAATGTCCCAAGCAGTCAATACCAGATTTCTTTGAAGAAATAATAAGAAAATGGTGCATTGACATGTCTTCATATTATCGTGTGTGGAATTACAAGCTGTATCATATGAATTATCAATTAATTCTGTTACTAATGCTGATGACAAAAAAAAAACATAATAATTGGTAAATACAACATAAGCTCATAATTTCGATTAATTATTCTGTGCGGACACCGGACGACGCCTGAAGACGAATGATAGCGATCCACATTATTTTTTTGTTGTGTATCAGATGACGTAGCGCACTCTCATTCATCTCCGGACAATCCAGTGTCTGCACAGAATAATCTCTCCATAATTACACGTTGTATGGTTCTTGCAATTTTACAATCAAGCTGACTACTCAAACCTTTTGTGCACAGCCATAGTGGCAGAAAACAAATGCATAATAATTGATCTGAAACCAAGGATATTTCACAAGGTATGCTTGAATATTCTATGTCATTTCATGTTCTCCTTTTAGTTGAAGCACCGCAACTGGCCGATACACATTGTTTCTTTGGTCTGATCTTCCTTGACCGTTCTGGTTACTTGGTAAGATATCATGAGATGAATAGTTGCTTCTGCTAGCAGTAGCAGCAGCACTGCTGGAGGTGTTATGGCTGCTGTTCCTAGCTGCAGGAACATCATGGTTGTGCTTCCCCTCGTAAGTCGTTACGACTGCTTTGGGGTCGGTTGAAGCCCTTTCGACATGCTTTCGAACATTGCAGCCTGTGCTGGTGCACTTGTAATAACTCCTGCATATGATGGAAATCATCACCATTAGGCATGTGCCGCCTGTGTAAGGAGAGATTATTATGAGCGGACACTGGATGGGAGAACCGTCTGGTTTACGCTTAGGTACCGAGCGGTACCAAACCGCGGTACTGCTCGGTACTAAGCTCGGTATCAGACGTGGCACATTTTTATTGGGGTCTGGACTCCACACAGAATAATTTTTCCTGTGTAAGGCATTAGCATTCATCACTCATTCATTAATGTGAAAGCATTCCTACCATGTTGAATCTGACATGCTTTAATGTTTTCCTAACCCCTTATCATATGGAAAAGTAATTCTGTGCGGAAGCGGAACATGTTAGGATGCCTAAGCCCGAGCAGTGCTGAGGCTCGGTATCGCTGACATTGCTCATTCTGATTGGTATCCGGATGTAGAGCTGCGTTCGACGTCCGCACAGAATAATCTCTTTATCATATGTGGCCGAATTTTGCAATATTTATTTGCATTGGTTTGGACATAATAAAGCAAAGATACTTTTATCCTTAATCAGGGATTTATTTTCTTTATAGGAACTTATTTATGAACTTTTTATTGTTAATTGATGCTGTTAAAAACTTAATGAAAAATTGTCTTGGAGGAATAGAGATCAACAACATGAGAATTCAAATTTTTTTAGGATCTTATGAAGAGTAGAGATTCTTTTAATTTTAATGTGCTCGAAATTTTTTCTACAGCTTCTCATCTTCTCCTCAAATCTAAATGAATTATTTGAAAAAAAAAAAAAACTCACACCAAGGGCACTACCACATTGACGCCTCTTTCTCTAACTCTTCACAGCTCACTCAACTTTCAATATCTACAATCAATCTTTTTGCCTATTTGAATTAGATTTCTTATGGAAATAGTAATTCAGCCTCTTAAGCCTCTACAATTCGTTTTTGGAGGCTTGCCTCCCCCCTCCCCCTTTATATTTGGTTTTGGGCCATGATTCACCATTTCTTTTGACTTCTTTGAGATGAATTTTGTTCCTGAAGATACCAAGATAAGGAATTTTGTATGAACAATAAAAGACAAATTTATGTAAAATAACAAATCTGCCACACAAAAGAACTACCAGTCCCCTCCTTACATGCTTTGAAGCTTGTATCAACTAAAACTTCATTTGGGACAATTTTTTTAGTGTTTTTTAAAGCAACTTTTAGTACAAAAATTTTTTAAACTAAAAGTTTTTTTACCAGAAAACTGCTTTAGAAAGCTGTCCCAAATGAAAACCTGAATGTTAATCAGTTGCTAATTCCAATGGCTCAAGATATCTTTTGTTTTTGAGATACCATTTAGATGAAATCACCCAAGTAAATGAGGGTTCCACAAACGATCATCAGTGCTCTGGCAACATAAGAATTTCTCTTGTTATACTTTCCATGGGTATTTAGCCAGTTTATAGGCTGGAATACGTTATGTTCATAAAGTTGAACATGAAGTAAATTCGATTTTCCTTGATCTTCCTTTTTTTTTTTTTCAAAAATTATCCTTGTTCATGATTCTTGTATTGAGTTTAAAACCATGGTAATTGTGTTACGAAGAGAAGCCTGAAAGAAATTTTACTTCACAAAAAAAGGAACAATTAGAATAACAAAGTAAGAAATCATTTAAGAAAAGATTAATTTTGGGATTGGCATGCTTATTGATGGAAACTTACGAATCCGATTCAATTAAAAAGTAATACCTGATCATGCAAATTCCTACCAAACCCCTTAACATATTTTCAGATTAAAAAAAAAAAATCAATGGAGGCTTTCCCGGTGGATCAATTTTCACTGAGAAATCTCTATTTTTCTGTAGTACTGAACCATTTCCCTCATAATCCTTTCTCACTAATTCATTAATTACTATTGTTTTTCCAGTCAAAAACAGTACCACTATTTTATTCTAGAAATCTTTCAAATGTCTCTCTTACATGCCATAAAATTCTGTTCACATTATTTCTCCTTCATTTGTTCTTGTATGCTCCACCAAAAACTTGATAACAAGACTACGGAATTCTTAAAAATAATAAGTTCCTTTCTAGTGCTTAATTTCTTGGTTTCTAGGCTACTGTTCCAGAGTTCTAAGCCAGCAAGCGCTATTCCAAGAAGTTCATTGTTTCAGTCATTCATACTATATTCACATCACATTGCATATCTATTTGATGAAGAAACTGCCACAGCATTTGTCCAACGACACCCTATAAAGATCACATTTAGGCTTTGTTTGTGACATCTTTCTTACTGCTTCTTAAAGCAGCTTTTTAGTATAAAAATTAATATTTTGCACTTGAAAGCTGCTTTAAGAAGCAGTAAGAAAGCGGTCCCAAACATTATTTAAAAAAGGTATAGTGCTACAAGTTATGATGTTTTTTATGCTCCATTTTTACAAGTTTCTTACTCTTGACCCTCACATGAATTCACATTCCCGATCTAACCAGTAACAAATTTCTTTAATGTCTAAACAACACGTTTCTTAATTTTTTCCCCATTAGTATGAACCAGCATCACCACATCTTAAGCAATTTTAGTTGATTCTTTAACTATGATGATCTGTAATGTGTGGCACATTTTGTATGCATCGCCCATGAATTGCTATTCTTGTTCAGATAAATATTGTTCTGGTTTTTTATCAACTTTCACTTGCCAACCAAGAGTATGAGTGGCTAGGCAGATAACTGTGGAGTTGGGTGAAAAGAGGACATGAGAAAAGTAGAAAAAGGTGGGACAGAAAACCTAGAGAATAGAGAGGGGCTAAGCTTTGCTTGCATTTGTGTGTATTAAAGACAAATTGCATACAAGTATCCACTTAATTATAAGGATGATTTTTTACTGTTAAGAAAATAATAATAAGAAAAGCAAATAAAGAATAATAATAAAAATCATGGTAAATCTTTCATAAAAAACTAGTTTTTAATAATAAAAAAATCCTTTTAAATAAGATGTCATTTAGTTACATCATTGTTACATTATCAAATCAAATAAGGTATGTGATGGCATGTCCAAATAAGTCAGTGATAACATCCTATTATGATGATGATCAGGATAGCCAAGTCCTACATTAATGAGCCTCTCAATTATGCTGCATAAAATATAGGAGTTTTGTGATAGGAAGTGCTGGTAGAAATGAATAAACCTTGGCTAAAATTTGATTTCAGCAAATCCAGAGAACAAACAACCAGAAAACTATGAATAGAAACTCACAATAACACTTTTTATTGAAATGTTTATGAAAGAAAAGACAAGATATAATTGGAGAGGAAGATCCGATTCTCTAAGAGCAATTTCGTTCTTTTAAGCTTCAAAGCCTACGCAATGAGAGTAGGGATTGAGGCGTACGCCTCAAGTTAATTGAGGCGCGTCTCTCACCTCAGGTTTTAGAGGCGTCCGCCTCTTAAAAAAAAACCCTAATCTAAGATAACTGATATTGAGTAAGAAGGAGCTGATTGGGAGGCATTGGACTCTATAGGATTGAAGGAAGGGGAGAGACGAGTTCATCATAATGATGATTCAAATGAAGACCCCCTTAGTGATGACAGTGCTGATGACTTATGAGTTCTTATGTCATTGCTATTCATTTTTTGAATTATATGTTAATGAAAAGAATACTGTGATTTGGGAAAGATAGAATTTGAGTTGAACTATATTTTATGTTGTCTTATTATTTGGATATTTTGATTTCACTTCATATCTTGTGCCTTTTTATGTTGTATATTAGTTAATCATTAGTATATAAAAAATTTATCATTTTATGTTTACGCAATCTTTTGATTTTGAGGCTTACGCCTCAAAACGCCCTGAGTCTTATGCCTCGCCTCAATACCCGATTACACAATTTTAAACATTGCTTAAAGCAAACAATAAAATATAAAATATGCGAAAAAGCCCTCCCAATTTCAAATTCCCTCCTACCCGCACCCTCCTCTCTTTGCATTATGTTGTGGGCCCACCTCAAGGGGGCATATGGCTGTTGGGGCGGACCAGGCCTCCGCCTGGAGTAAACAAGGGTCGGACCATTCTAGACAGACTAGATCAGTCCCTCCTAGATATGACCGGTCTAACAATACCCCTCTCCCAAAGATCCACCTTGTCCGCAAGATGAAAAGACAGCTCCTTCTTCAATCTCCTCGTCATCACAAATAGTGAGAACCTGAAGAGTTTGATTATTACACCTATGCATTGGTATATACATTTCCTCATATCTGAAACACAACCCCTTCGCCATCTTTTCCTGTAACTCAGTTTTTGTAAGCTTCTTGAAGTTTTCACCAGGTCTCCCTCCTACAATCTTCTCCTGCAAGGTCTTTCTATGAATACCCGACGTCAGATCCTTGGATGCCAAAAGATGGTGGTCATCCTGTACAAACCTCCTGAGCTGCTACCTCCATCCCCTCTCTCCTGGTGCCTCTAATCCTCCATTAACTAGACTAACTCCATAGCCTCTCCCAAATCAAGGGGGATTCATCACTCTAACTATTGCACGAATCTCTAGTTTAAGCCCTTTCATAAAGTTCCACTCCAATACAGTCTCTTAAAGCCAGTCCAATCGACTGCCCAGGTGCACAAATTGCTCATGGTACTCTATTACTATCCCCTCCTACGTCAGGGCGAAGAACTACTCATAGAGGTCCCCCCTCCTAATTAGAAAATGTTCCAACAAGCAATCCTTAAACTCCCTCCAGGTCCGTATGGGTCACCTTATATCCCTCCACTGGTACCATGCTAATGCTTTCCCCTCCAAGCACATCCCGGCTGCCGTCATTCTCTCTTCCTCCAACTTATTGACGATAAAGCACCTTTCTACCCTGTATATCCACCAATGTGTATATTCTCTCTCAAAAATAGGCATCTTCAGCTTCCTTGCTCTCGGATATCCTCCGTTCCCCATGTTTCTTCCATAATTTTCCATTCCCTAAAGGGGTGGTTCCCCCAAGTGTCTCAATCATCTTTTCTATGCTCGTACCCAAACCTTTCGTCAAAATCTCATATTCTCCTTTCAAATTCAGCACTTATTGAACCATAAATCAACCCTTCTCCTTTCAAATTTCGCTCGTCTCCTCTCAAATTCAGCACCCCTTCATTCATGCCCAACCCCCTCATGCCTCTCCCCATACCCTTTACCCAACTCCTCTTAAGAATTGGCTCTAGGGGAGGCATTCTCTCTTCTCTCTCCAAAATCTTCACCTCTTAATATTCATTTCACCTTATCGGATTAGGATTTTCCCCATTTCCTTGGCTGTCGACGGCTTCCCTCGCCTCCGATGACGCCGTCTTTGGTTGGCCCTCGAGCAACTTCTTCAGCATCTTTTCCTAGATTTAAAATTTCCTATCAATCTTCTCATAGACGGTTGAAATTCGACTTTTGAAATCTGAAAATTGAGTTTGAAAATCCGAAATTTCATATTTCAATTGTCCGATCTTCCCCTCCAATACTTCTAACTTTCTTCCTGCCATGGATAACCGGATCTAGGCTCCAAACAGCAAAAATGAACAAAAAACAGCTAATCGGGCCTTCAAAAAGCAAAAATCAGCAAGATTGGAGAGAAAAACGCAACAGAAATCAGCAAAAAAAAAATTTATATTTCAACCCAGGGCACCGTTCTAATACCAATTTGATAGGAAGTGCTTGTAGAAAACAAATAACCTCTTGTTGAAATTTGATAAACTAGAATTATTAATAAATTTTTTTATTAAAGAAATAATTTAACATATTTTTAAATAATATTATTACCAAAATACCCCTTGATTTAACACTATAAATTCCAAAGTTTGATGTTAGGACCAAAAAGGCCCTTTTAAAGGAGTTGAGGGACCAATTTATCTTTTTAAGGAGTTGAGGAACCAAATTGGTCCTCAAAAAAGTTGTTGACCATTTTGATCATTTTCTCATTAGATCTTCAATTGAAGAGGAAGGCGCAACTCTCTCAAATCCTAGCTGTCAGCTAGAGCTCAATCAACCTAAGAACAATATAAATTTAGCAAAAAATACATAACCTACCCCTGGGGTAAACCAAACAACTTAAAGTATACAATAAAATGTAAAATACCCACAACAGCCCTCTCAATTTCATATTCCCTGCTATCCGCCTCCTCCTCTCTTTGCATTAAGTTGTGGTCCCCATCCCAAGGGGGAAGGATGGCTACTAGGCCAAACTAGGCTTCTACCTAGAGTAAACAAGGCCCAGTCCCTTCTGGACCAGTCCAGGACCGGTCTAACATTTTGCTGCATGTACACCATAATAAGTGCTTGAAATAGCTCTTGGTTAAGTCATCTAGCTTTTATTTTTCTTTTAGCCTTGCAACTTCTTCAATGATAGCTTGCATAATACCCTATTTAAGAATAGAACAAACTTCTAGCAGCTTGAACTATGATAACGCAAATGGCATACTTGTTTATACACACAACAGCGTGACTTTTACTTGTCTAAGCACAGGACGTCTGAAGAAAAATCTCAAATCCTTCAAACTTAGGTGGGGTTCTCCAACTCAAGAAAAAAAAATAATCATCTGATCTCCTTTGTGTAAGATTGATGAACAAATGAGATCTACGAGTATGCTAATGTTACGCCGGCCCAGGAGGGGCCGGCTGGACCGGTCCGGGTCTACTTGCGACAGAACCGAAGCAAACAGGCGATCTTCTGATCTCCTTTGTGTAAGATTGATGAACAAATGAGATCTACGAGTATGCTAACTCAGAATACATCTTTCTTAAGGAATAAAGCATAAGGTTTGAAAGTTTTCGAAAATGGATTCTGCAAAAAGAACAAGAAAATGACAAAATGTAGTATGATTTAGACAAGAACAGGAACCTTGGACAAAGCAGCTAATATGCAAAAAAAGAAAAAAATGAAAAAAAATGGGATACCTTGGGTGAGGATTTCCTTTTACCAATTTTTGCCCATATTTGCGCCATCTGTAGCCATCATCCAAAAGATCAACTTCACTTGTTGTTTGCAGAATGATCCTTGGTTCTGTTACCGTCCTATGAGAAGAAGACTCTATTACCCTAGTTTCCAAGTTCCTGTCGAATGAAACAAGATCTCTTTTTCAGAAAGCAAGTAAAATAAGTGGATGCATTGAAACTTGTTTTGAAAGTAAACCTTCTCTTATGTTCAGGTTCACCATCTTCTGCTTCTTCATCCTCCAGTTCCTCATCATCACTTGAACCTGATAATTGCTCAGAAACTCCTTCTCGCTCCTTTTTAGATAGACCCACCATACCATCACTTGATCTGTTGAAGTTCAAATGGTCATCTTGTTGTAGTGATTCGGAGTTATCAGGATATGTATTTCCATTTACTTCAGCTGCACCCTCTTTTGATCGTTTATTTGGTATTGGCCGTTCATGATTGTGTTGTCCCCTATAGATTATCTCAGTCACTTGGCCATCAAGGGAGCGTTCTACCTTTTTCTTAACCGGACACTTTGGGTGGGTACATTTGTAGTAGCTCCTTGGATATTCACAGCCCTTCACCTGCTTCTGCCCATACTTACGCCAGTTGTAGCCATCATCAGCAGGTTTATCAGCAACAATAGCGGCTGGTTGAGATCTTTGATCAGAATGGGAGGCAAAAGCAGATTCGGTATTATGAATATTTTTACCAGAAGTAATAAACAGCATAGGTTGGGATGAGGTCATATTCATGGCAGAGATTGGCTGTATCAAGGAAGCTGATGAAAGAGAAGATGGAAATTCTGCCTGGCTTTGCATTTGAGAATGTGAATCAGAAGCCTGAGCAGTTACTTGTGCTAAAGCATGTTGATGTGACATTCCAAGGTGTCCCTGCATGTAGCCATTAGTCCATGTCAAATTAGCGATCATGAGTACTGAATCAGCAACTTATTATTGGGATGATGCATATAAGGACATTCATAATGATGAAGAAGAGTACTACACAGATTATATGCCAAAGGAAACACTTTTCTTGCGTTGGTATACATTTATTTGATGAACAAGTGATAATTTTGCACTGTTAGAGTGTTCTATTTAGTTTCATATAAGATGGTTAAAAAACGTTGATCTAGATTACTAATTAGTTAGCCCTTACACATAAGGTTAATATTTTTATTGTAAAACCAATTTGACCACTAATGTATTTCATTCAACTTTGATCCCCTTCTGATTCACACCAACTAACAAGTGGCATCAGCTCAATTGGGAGGAGTAATGACTAATGTGATTCTATGGATAGCTCTCTTGCAAGAGAGAGATTGTTAGGCACAAGAGAGTATTTGCTTTAGTCTAGGGGAAACATTGAGTTAAGTTTAAAAAATAATAAATTATACAAAAGAGAAGTGAGATCCTTTGGATGGAGATTGATAATGGAAACGACATATAAAAAAATTAGAAAAAGGGAGGAAATGTCACTCTTATATTCCTTAACATGAATAAGGATCAGTAAAACATTCATATCTTAATATCATCTTAATATCATTTTAAACTAGGAGTAAGGATCTTTATATGCACATAAATCAATCAATATCATAGACATGATAAATATACATGGTAATATATGTATTGAAATTTGATATTAATGTGAATTGTTTTAGATTATATTTGCAATGAATGTGAAAATTATCAGATCTCCAAAATCCTAAATCTCATCTTTCTTATTCTTCCATTTTCTTTTGTTAAATTGTATGGTCGGTTCTACATTCCCCTCAAATTAAGAATTTATTGGAAACATGCTCAATTATTTCTCAAGGTAAGAATGCAGATTCACTCTCAAACCCTTGGTCAAAAAATTTGTAAAATTTTCTTCAGATGTTATAAACTTAATTTTAACTTCACCTAATTCTAACCTTTTTTCTATAAAAAAAACAATCAATTAAATGTGTTTTGGAAGATCATGCAAGATGGGACCATCACTCATTGCTGGAAGACTTTTCTTATTAGAATACAGGAGTGACCTTTACCATGGCAGTCTAAACAGTAGTAGATTTTGTTTAATCTGCTAATTCAGTAGTTACAAAGTCCTTACTATGTTTTCAACCTTAGAGCTTGATCTTGCAAGAATTTTCTATTTGTTCCAAGAAACTTTTTTATTTGTTACTTTACAAGAAATCAAGTCCCATCTAGGGAAAATGTTATAGCTTACGACAGACATTCTATTATCTTGATCTCTTTTCCAATCTGCATCAAAATATCATATTACTTGAAAAGTTATATTCTTGTCATTTTTAACAAATTTCACTACCATGGTCTGTAGTTCTTTTCACGAATCTCATTTTTTTAAGAGTTTGCATGTGGATCTTTGTTGGTTCATGCATACCAGTTCCAATGATGGTGAGATATTTCAAATCTGCTACAATACTCCAAGACACTTGGGTTCTTTATAAGTTTTCCTTCAAGGGAAAAACACTTGGGTCAATTAGATCTAGTGAAGGCTTTCAATACGGCATTTTGCATTTTTTTTAAATACTAGATAATTTAGCTGTGACATTTTTAGCTTCTAGAGATTTCTATCGAACTCTATTCCAAGAAAAGTTTCTTAAATGTTAGAAAGTCTTTGTTTTTGACTTTTCTATGTAGTAAATCTGAAAGGCTGAGTATCACTGAATTGAAATTTCCACAAACGAGGATGCCATCAACAAAAAGGACTGCTATTGTCATTTATCGCATTATAAAGGAGGACTACTGTTAGTTGTCTATTATTTTGCTATTATCTTAAAGGAGAACTGCTATCATTGCCATCAACTCTCTAATAACGTTTTGGAATTCTGGTTATGAACAAGGAGTCATAACTTCTTTGAACAGAGAAAACTTGATCCATGTGGTTGATTTTATGCAAATAACTCTATGAATGAAAGATTAATCATCATGATGGGGATTGCCATCAACTCTCTAATAACGTTTTGGAATTCTGGTTATGAACAAGGAGTCATAACTTCTTTGAACAGAGAAAACTTGATCCATGTGGTTGATTTTATGCAAATAACTCTATGAATGTTCCACATCACATCATGACTCCTTGAACTCATAATCTATGATGCACTAACACTTCTCCTTAAAGAGATATATAGTGTCCGACACATATCATGACACGCACCCGACACATGTTTGATATATTGAAGACATGTTCAATTAAAAAAATATTAAAAAAAGATTGGACACGCATGTCGAACATACGTGTCTAAACTAATTTATTAAAAAAAAACTTTTTTAAATATAATTTCTTATATTTCAAATATAAAATATAAAAACTAATTTTCTTATTTTATTTTCACTGCCCTAAATCAATTGCCCACACTTAATACTCCATTCCTTGACCATTCCTATTTTCATTTCTCTCTGCAGGTCATGGCTAAGGTTTCATAACAATGCCTGATGTAATCTCAACATCAGTGTTTGACGCTTGACGCTAGTAATTTCTACGCCCATAATCACACCCCTGCACCATCTCAACATCTCATTTTTGTCCAACATCATTTTAACATCGACGATTGACACTGTCTCAACATCAATGCCCAATGCCATTGCACAACATCGATGTCCAACTCTTGACAACCTTCTCATTACCCCCTTTTGCTACCTGACACATACACCAATGCTCAACTCTCAATATTTAAATAAAATGAACACTTATTATATCTTCTCAAATCCCAAATACACTCACATGCTAACTAAGAAGAAACCTAAAAAACATTCACATATAAGTTTAACTAAAACCACAGTACCATCCTGAAGTTCCATGATGTGAAAGAATCAAGAGAGACACTTGTCTCACAAGCTACTAAGACAAATAGTAACCATCTGGAAGACCCTACCTAGTGTCCTTTCCAAGTGCGGCTCCTTCAACCTGCCATTTCACTAGCCGGAGATAGTCTTAGAATAGAACTGGAGAACAACTCCAATTCCCAATCTGATGCCATCATATATTGTCCTCAAAATCGAGAGTTACTTGTAGCAGAGCAGTCACAAGTCCATATAAGAAATAATTGAGGGAAAATAACAACGTATATCGAAGTTTTAAACCAATACCTAATCAAATGACATGTAAATCCATCATGAATGCAGTGATTGAGTCAAATAAAGACCTATACATTTATCATTGTCAGAAAGCCTTTAACATTGATGTGGGCTTAATCGCTAAAGTCAAAGCCTTCTTCCCTTCATATATGGCCTCAGCTTGAACAATATGATTTGGATTACTAATTCTAATCACCATTAATTGAGGATTAATTATGAGGCCTACCTCACTAATCTGAGGAGATTCCAAACAGAAGGCTATCTTCCCCATATTCAATTTAAATGTTTAACTGGCTATTTCAACACTTATATTCCATATCTTCATCTAGAAAGCCAATCCTCCATCTTCAGGCTTAATTTCCTCAACCAAGTAACTTCCATAAGAAAGCCTAAATCTAGGCTGATTTTGAAAAACCAGAGAACACCAGAACGAAAAAGGTGAGAGAAAATCTGAAAGAAAGCAAAATATTTTTCTTTTAGCGCACTCCCTTTCCTGCGCTACACTCTAGAAATCATTCATAGTAAAAATCCAATCCATACATAACAGACCAAAAGATAACACAGACAACACAAAGAATAACGCCTTAAAAGTTTAATCTTTGAACAAAATCACACACCAAATTAGAAGAGAACATTGCGGGAGAATCGAGCAAACCGCCAGGGCTGAGTCCAGGTGGCACCGTGAATAACGGCGACGGCGCCACCATCAAATTCATCGGCCGGCTATGCCCTAAATTCAAGCTCGCTCGCTCTCTTCCACCTCCTCCACGAGCATCGAACGCCGTCGTCGACACCGACGGCGATACCATAGCGCCAGCAAGGATCTGCGAGAAGGATCGATACTCGGACTCTGGTTCAAAGAAGCTCGAGGCCAGCGTCATCGGACCGGGACTTGCCTCCGCTGGCCCGCCGCGGAAGAGGCTTTCCACCGTGGAACGCGGAGGAAGTGATATCGAGGGCCGGTTCACCTCCGCCGCCGACGAAACAGCGCCGCCATTCTCTGACATCGGATTGGAATCGAACGGCAGAACGAAAAACCTATAACTTTTCCTCAATTTTTATTTTTTTGGAAAACTTCAAATCGACCTTTTTGGATGTACTGAAGAAGATTTCTACCGGATTGCTTTGTACTTCTGGCTTCTGAGACGGCTTCGAGGAAGTAGACGGCGTGGAAATTTGGATACGAGAAAGGACGTCAGACGAAAAGCTGAAATGGAACTAAATTCATTCCAAATTAAATTCAGATCCAAATGTAGAACGTTGACTCCACATGCAAAAAACTGACGAAATTGACCCTGTCCTTGGGATAATTTATCAAATTAGGTAATTCAACGGTTTAACCCGCCAATAGTTTTTTTTAATTAATAATTTTTATATAAAAAATTTATTTAAAAAAATAATAAAAAAACTGTCCCAAATAAAATCTAAGTTATATGAAATAAAAATATTTTTTTTTTGCTTAAATGTATTTATGATAAATATCAAGGCTCAACTCAGTTAGCACTATACGTGTGTTGCCAGACCACTAACATAACACACTGCTTCGGCCCCTTGACTCAGTGATATCTGTTGTCGGTACACTTCAGTTTGGATGCATATTGCATGGGCAAAATGCCACTGGACTCTTGCCATCATTTCGTCATTCGTCAATTTGAGTTACCAAACGGTCTCCGATTTTAACGAGCTTATACTCGAATAGAACGGCTCGACGAGACGAATCCAACGAGCCCAAGATCACCGGATTCCGACATCAATAAGGCCCTCAAATGTTCAACGAACGGTGCACGATCGAAGGATTCAATATTAGTCGTTCATTCGGCCACTCTCTATTTGCCCCTGATCTCACACATATTTACGGGCTATGCCACTCTAGAAAAACTATAAATGAACCCCTCATTCCTCATAAGGGGGGACTGAAGGAAGAAGGGAGAAGAAGAAGGGAAGAGAAAGAGAAATGGGAAAGGAGAATCATCTCCTCCTCGACCACCGTCGGAGTTCTTCCCGCCGCCTGAATACGCCGGAATTTTGCCGAATATTCGAGAAACGCCGGGATTTTGCACAACTTTGTTTTAATCCAGGAGAAACTTAGTGTAATCTGATTGTCCTAACTTGTGGGACGAATCAGCTTCTTGTAATTTACGCAACACTAGTGGAACTTTTAAACTGGGCGTGGCCCCGTGGTTTTTCCCCTTTTTAGGGTTTTCCACGTAAAAATCCTGGTATTCACTTTTTTTTCTGTTTATATGATGAATATTCATACAACGCTTAGACGTAAATTTACAACCTCTACCGCCGCGTATATTCTAACCCGCAACAGTTTGGCGCCGTATGTGGGAAATACTATCCCACAACTTCAAGTATTGCTACAATGGTCAACATACGTAGCAGTCGCATCGTTGGAGCTTCCCGCTCCAACACCCACCAATCCAGAAATCAGTCTGTGAATCACAGACGCCCGATGTCTATCTCTTTTCATACTGGGGGGCAAAATGTTGTCGGAGAAAGAACCTTGAGACCTTATTTAGAAGAAAGAATCCAGAAGATGGAAGAATCTCAGAATGAAATTCTTCAACTCCTGCGAGAGACTCGGCAACCGACACTACCACAAAGGGAGGAAGTGCTTCTCCCTCGAGATCCACCACGGGTTGAAGATGTTCAATTCGAGCATCTTCAAGCAGAAATTCCTCTTCCTCCCTTAAGAAGGCAGATACATCAGAACAACTAACTCACTGATACAGCAAGCTCTACACATCCTTCGCCCTCAACTCGGCAGCCTCGCGTTCTTCCAGATCTCCCAGAAGACTCAACCTAACCATACATTGCTGAGCTCCCTCAAAATGCTCTATGTCATGAACTGCGAAGATTGGTACGGGAACAGTTCCCCCGAGGAGATGTGAGGCAAGCTCTTCGACGAATGAACTTTCAGGAGTCATCACCTCTAACTGAAGTCATTCTTCAGCACCCCATTCTGATTGGATTCAAACAACCGAGCATCGAGTCCTACGATGGGACATCTGACCCGTACGAGCATATCGATCACTATAGAACCATCATGCATATCCAGCGAGCCTATGATGCACTACTCTGTCAGGTTTTTCTTGCTACCCTCAAAGAATAAGCTCAAATGAATGTGATTTTATTCACTTCCAGCCGGAATGATCCATACATTCGTCAAATTGGCCAAAGTGTTCGTCAAACAGTTTGTTGATAATCGAAAAATTGCTAAGGATTCTTCTCACCTCTTTGGGATCCGCCAAAATGAAGGGGAATTGTTGAAAGAGTATTTTTAACGATTTTCCACTGAGGCTCGACAAATTTCAGGAGTAGATCTTGAATTGTTGAGATGGGTCTTTTTTGGAGACCTTCGTCATGACCCCTTTTATTCGGCACTCATGCGAGACATAGTTCATTCATATACCGACTTGATTCATCGCGTGGAGGCGTAAATCTCTGCAGATAAAGCCATAAATGCTCATGGAAAGCAATTTGAGCAAACAAATGGAAAATGCAAGGATGCACTTGGGATGGATAATTCGTCCTCACAAAAAAAGAAATAAGGGAAAAGTAATCTGCCTCCTAGGCCTCCTTTGCCACAACAGGAATCTCGATAAGATAAATAGTATACATCACTCAACACATCTCAATTAAATGTGTTGATGGCCATTCGAGATCAAGATACAATGAAATGGCAGAATCCATTGAAGCCGAACACAGACAATCAAGATCAATACTGTCATTTTCATCGTAGTCGTGACCACACTACTGAAGCCTATAAGTAGCTAGAGGATAAAATTGAAAGACTTATCCGCCAAGATTATCTTTGACAGTTTATCCAAAATCCACTCGTCCGAGAGGAAGCTCGTCCTGCTGGGGAAAAAAATCAACAACAACAGAGACAACCGGTGAATAATCAAATAACAATTGGTAAAATTGAGACCATCGCAGGAGGCCCCTTACTATCTGATCAAGCCTTTTTAGTTGTAGATAAAAATCCAACACCAAAGAAAGCTCATATGTACCCCTCTATCACTTTCGAAGACTCTGATTTGAATGGAATAAAAACCTCTCATCAAGCCTTTTTATTCTGTTTTGTTAAAACTCAAATTCTCATTTAAATCTATAAAAATAGAAGAAACAGAACAAACACCAAAATACTTATCACCACCAAGCTCATCGTGTTCCTCTTCCCTCGTCTTTCTCTTATTCTCCATCTATCTTCTAAACTCTCTTCTTTATCTAAATCTTCTAGGAGTCATCACCTCTAATTGAAGCCATTCTTAAGCAACCCATTCCGGTCAGATTCAAAGTACCAAACATTGAGTCCTACGATGGGACGACCGACCCGTATGAGCATATCGACTACTAAAGAACCATCATGCATATTCAATGAGCATCGGACGCACTCCTCTGCTAGGTTTTTCCTGCCACCCTTAAAGGACAGGCTCGAAAGTGGTTTTATTCGCTTCCGTTTAGAATGATCCCTTCATTCATCAAATTAGCCAAAGTATTCGTTGAACAGTTTGTGGCTAATCGAAAAATTGCTAAGGATTCTCTCCACCCCTCCGGGATCCGCCAAAATGAGGGAGAATCATTGAAGGAGTATTTTTAGCGGTTTTCCACTGAGGCTCAACAGATTCCAGGAGTAGACCCTAAATTACTCAGAGGGGTCTTTCTTGGAGGTCTTCGTCCTGGCCCCTTCTATTCAGCACTCATGCGTGACATTGTTCATTCATATGCTGACCTAATCCATCATGTGGAGGTGCAAATTTCTGCAGATAAAGCTATAAATGCTCATAGGAAGCAGTTTGAGCAAATCAACGGGAAGCGCAAAGGTGCACCTGGGATGAACAATTCATTCTCACAACAGAAAAAGCAATGGAAGAATAATCGTCCTCCTAGGCATTCATTACCATGATGGGAACCTCAACAGGAGGAGTATACCCCACTCAACACATCTCAAGCAAATGTATTGATGTCCGTTCGAGATCAAGATACATTGAAATGACCGAATCCTTTGAAATCGAACACAGGAAATCCAGATCAGTATTGTCACTTTCATCGTAGTCGTGTTCACACTACCGAAGCCTGTAAGCAACTCAAGGATGAGATTGAAAGACTTATCCGCCAGGGCTATCTTCGATAATTTATTCGAGATCTATCTACCCGAGAGGAAGCTCGCCCCGTTAGAGGGCAAAATCAACAACAAAGACAATCATTGAATAATATTCAAATGGTTGGAGAGATTGAATGATCACGCACTTCGTGCATTTGTATTAACAATACTGCTTATCTTGTTGTCTCTTTTATGTTGAGTAAAGTGTCACTTTGATATCTTTTATGTCTTCTTCCAAGTTAAATGTTGTATTGTTTATGTACGTATATCTTATGTGTTGAGTCATTGTAACTTGTATATCTCTAAGTCATACTATGGAACTATTGTACTGTATTACATAATACAGTAATTTGATGTTTACGTTGTTGTGATATTATTTTCTCTTATAAAAGATAAAAAATTTCTCAAGCTCTTTCTCCGTGATTTGAGAAATATACAATCTATATTGTATCTCAATCACTTGATGATCAATACCAGGGGGATTTGATCCGACCTCTTCCACACAGGTTAACGTCATCGAGCATGGCTCTGACATACAACCTCGGATAGGTCTTACATTCTCGGTGGATTCTCTCGACCTCTTCCATACATGTTAACGTCGTCGAGCAAAGGCTCCGACATACAGCCTCGGATAGGTCTCACATCCTTGGTGGATTCTCTTGACCTCTTCTATACAGGTTAACGTCGTCGAGCAAAGGCTCCGACATACAGCCTCGGATAGGTCTCACATCCCTGGTCAACTCTCTCGACCTCTTCCACACAGGTTAACGTCGTCGAGCAAAGGCTCCGACATACAGCCTCGGATAGGTCTCACATCCTTGGTGGATTCTCCATACCTCTTCCACACAAGTTAATGTCATAGAGCAAGGCTCTGACATACAACCTCGGATAGGTCTTACATCCTTGGTGGATTCTCTCGACCTCTTCCACACAGGTTAATGTCATCGAGCAGGGCTCTGACATACAACCTCGGATATGTCTTACATCTTTAGTGGATTCTCTTGGTCTCTTCCACACATGAATATAAAATTCTTGAAGACTAAAAAACCTCAAAGAGCATGAAAG